TCCGTCAGTGTTATTTAAATTTAAAAAAGAAAATGATAAAGAAAAAATTATATATATATATATATATAGTGTTTTGCGGCAAGAGACACTCGAAAAATCGCTTACTGCGCATGTGCGGTTAAAACTAACCCAGCTGTGACCCTGGGTCAGGATTTTTAGCTTGAACCGGAGTTATGTTATTAACTTGCGATGGTGAATAGCGTTTTCGGCGAAACCCAGGTTTCCTTCCTCTAACTGGCGGTCAGGTTAGCGGTGAATATGGGCGTTAGTCGAAACGCGGCCATCGGTCGAGCCAGTTCATTCCTACGTTTGTGAGATTGTGAGTTGTACACATTAATTTGTTTCAAATTACTATTTGCACGAACATTGGGCAATGCGGTCTATATATTATCTACTTTTAAGGCTCACGGGTGGAACCTACTTTTGCATAGGGGCCCATGGCCTCAAAAAATCTTTAAACGTCCCTGGTACTTGTAATATTATCTTAATCCATTCTATATTTTTAATAATTAATTTTAAAAGGTAGCCGCACTTGAATTTAACCTTAATATACTCTTTTAATATGAATTCATAATGTGTGAGTTTCCTTTTCTGTTTTGTTATGTTTATATGATCACTGTAGCCTTGTGGTCATGATCATGAATTATTATCCGGCGTTGTCTAGTCGCGGGTTCAAGTCCTAATACTGCTGACGATCATCAGTGTAGAGGGGTTGATGTATGTTAAATCTGTCGTGGCTCAAAGTCCTTTCGTAGACGTGATGCGAAAGTTAGGAGAGGGAAGCATAAGATCAGGTGTCATCCTCGACGATTGACTGCGGTTAAAATTTTCGAGGGCAATCGTCAATATTCGTCGTGTTGCTTTAAATGCGACGTTGATAAACACTGACTCACTTGGTTATCTTTATAATTGAAATTAATTGATCTAGTTTGTTTTGTTTATAAATTTATTCATAATTTCAAACATTGTCTTTTTCTTGCCTTGAAGTGTTTCATGTTCTGAAATATTGATTATAGTTTACAGTATTTTATTATTACTTTTCCCTTTTGAACAGACGGGAAAGTTCGTTTCGTTTCATTTTTAATACAATAGCTTTTATAAATTATTAAATATAAATATCGTTGTATACTGTGTTGGGAATAGCTTTGTGGTTTTTGTTACTTATTGCAACAAGTGACTGCATAGATGAAACAGCTGCAAGATTGAATTCTGCGGTTTCATATTTTAAATGAATGATTCATCAAATTTTCATTTTAATGTTTTCAAATCCTGCCACTGAATATAATTTGCAATCGTAATTGTTGAAAATAATCAGTTTTTCAACAACATCCAATACACAAATTGAAGAAGCCTTGCAACATACGCTGAAATATATTCCCTGTTTACATTTACAACAAAGAGAGAGAGAGAGGAGCGAGGACAAAAAAGTGGAATCCATACGAATTCGCTTTTAGAAAGAGAGAGGAGTGGAAACGAAGACAGATCACATTTCTTTTATCCGTTAGGAAAAAGCTCAGTTCCTGTGGGATTTGGCTCCAATTCAACTGCATAACTAGATTTTGAAACATTTTTATACCGAATCATATTTCTTCCTTGTATAATGGAGTATTTTCACTTAGAAGTCTTTTATTATGAATAAAAGTTATATGTCTAGTGAAGAAATAATTTGGTGGAGTACTTTATATATATTTTGTTATAGTGAAGATCTCCATTTTTTTTTAAAACCCGTTTTCGAATTGTCAAAATCATTTTTTCCGAGCACTTGTATTTCTTTTCAACGTTTGTTTCATTCAATAGCAATCAGGTTTTTCTCATGTCGCCGTACCTCCTCCTCGTGTTGGTTGAGGTAGAGATCTCGAGACTCCCGAGAGGATCCGAACGAAGTTGGGATAGAGAAGTTTTAAATCACACTCGGAAGTACAACAAATACTCATAATAATTCGCTTTTATTAATTTAAGCGCTAAAACTAAATATGCGATATGCAGACAAGAGAACTAAAGTATAAGTATCAATGGTTGCTTATCTGAAATGTAATGCAACCTATAAAACTCGCCAAAGAGAAATCTTTTAATAGCGACTATAATTCAAGAACTCACTACTGTGGCTATATTGTCCAAATTACAACTATTCTCAATCACTGTGACTATTAATATATTATTTAGTACTGATGTTCATTTTCGGAGTGGAGTTGTAAATCAAAATGCCAATTTGGCTAGACGGAAAATAAACCGAATTTGAGATGGTAGACCTCGCGGATGGCTCATTGTTACAATATGATCTTTTTTTAATAACTCTTGATATACTTTTAATGTTTTTCTTTATACCAAAAAATAATTCTTTTCCCCCACACAAATATACTTCAATACTCTTTAATGTAATGCAATTTAGTTCCTGCTTTTTTATAGTTTCTCAAAAGGTAGAAGAAAAATAACTTTTTGGTTGAGTGATTTTACTTCTGCAAGAGCCACATTTGTCTAAACTGCAGAAAACACTCGTTAATTTACACATACACACACAAACAAACAAAACTTTTTGATTTAAATAAAACTTTTGGGTGGAAGTACCAGGAGAATTGAAAGACAAAAAAATGCAAGAATCGCAAGACAAAAATGCAAGGCGCGTTACCTGTATTTACCAATGGGGGTATACCTCAAGGTGACATTAAAAACAAAAAATGAAGTGGTGGAAGAGAGATTTTACTAAAATTAAATACATTATTAAGTCTATCTCTCTCATTAAGCATCCTCCTTACCCTTTACAAGGCCGTGGTAAGAGTATACTTACCAGCAACTTCATTAATTTTTAAATGTACATGGGAAACTATTTTGCCACCTAACACGCTGTAACTTTTCCGTCTCCCAGCTTTGAGTCGGGCTCTTTGTGGAAATAATCATCACACTTGCATCCTGCACCTGCATGTCGAAAGTTAAGTTTAATAAATTCAATGAATAATCTGTAAATAATAGCTGTGACGTAAATAAACTAAATGTTTAAATTAATCAATATCACGCTTCCGTTATTTATCTCAAACGTCTCAACGCCAACGGATATCTGGATTTTCAACTCGCAAGTGCATAGGACAACCTGTAAATGTCCTGAGGAGTAAGAAAACCGTTCCAGATGACGTACGATTGAGTTGGTAACCATATGCCAACTTGACAAAAAATAGACAGACGGTACTGTTTGGCTCTGCTAAAGGATATGAGAACAAGATACTTTTGTATAGCTTGCATAATGTCCCATTATACATTGATCCCAATTTATGAAATTTCATGGAAAGTATTAAAGTTTTGAATACAAAATATATCTAATTTACAATTTATTCAGTATATTTTAGTACTTACAAGCAGTGGCGCACACAGGAATTTTTCAGGGGGGGGGGAGGTCAGGGTTGAAATTCCACCATTTTCGTATTAAGCTCCAATACGCCGCCCAGCATACGCTTTTGATTTTATCGATTTTCCGGAACAAAAAACTGTAAAAAACTAATTAGTGAATAGATAATTAACATTTATTAATAAAATTAATTATTAATAAAAAATAATTAAATTTTATGTACTACATATATACAAAGAATTATAATCAATCGAACAAGAAAATCAAAAGCTTTGGGATGGTCCGGACCCGGGGATCTCCCCCCCCTCCCCTTTCTGTGCTCACAAGTAATTTTTTAAAATTTCGTGTAACACAATATAAAAAGAAATGCAGAACATAAGATGTCTTAGCTTTAAGTAGCTCCCTGGAGATGGTGGGAAACCTATTTCCTACCAAAAAAAAAGTCTTAAACAACAAATTTATTTTTTAAATAATAAGCTGAATGAATTTTTTCTCATAAATCAATACAAATCCAAAAAATAAGGTAACATAACATTGCTGGGAAAAAATGGCCTTATAAAGAGTTATTTTTTTAGTTGATATATATAATTTCTTAAAATTCCAATTAGCAAAAAATTATGTTTAATCTATAGTGTATCGATCCTAAACCTTCCACTTGAGCTCAGATATTCTCTATTCGAAATTTCTCCTCAGGAGTACTAAAAATCCGGTAGCGGAAATCTTTCTCCGATCAGCCATTACCATAAATCGATCTCATTATTAACGTTTTTAAGTGAAAATAAAAATCCCTATCCATCCCCGCGTTTAAAAATGCTAACTTGAAGATAACGAGGCAGTCTCTTATTATTCCCTTCATTATCGTAATTGTGGGTAAACAAATACTAACGGATATTTTGATGAGGAATCACGACCAGTCCCCGTGTTGACCCCTGCGTGGCTAAAAGCCTGTCATCGCACTCCCCATTTGGGGCCCTGTAATCATTGATCATCGTTGAGCGGGAAGTAGGTAGTCATCATGTATTGATAAAGTGAGTGTTTATTCTTTACTGTGGAGACAGTGATGACAGTGTTAGCTATCCATTTTATTGGACGTCTTGCTTTTTTGTTTTGTTATTAATATGGAGAGATTTTTAAGCGTTTAACAGGTTACAGGAGTATATGTGCGAGATAGCTTCTCCTCTTATAGGATTTGTGAGTTCATAGAAAAGATTTTAGTGCAATACATTTTTTGGTAATATTTGAATGAGTCATGTTCTTTATGTACGTCATATTTAACTGTAGTAGCTTCTGTTGTGGTAGTGTATTTTTTTTAAACTTATATATTTCTTCTAAGATATAAATCAATCTATACAGTAGTGATTTTTTTTAATTCCTACTATTAGTTCACTCTCTCCCTATATATCTATATATATATATATATATATATATATATATATATATATATATATATATATATATATATCTTGTTCAAAATTAATTTTCTATCGTTAATAAAATATTTTCTATTCATCCATTCAAGTTCAAATACATTTTTTAAAACTGGTAGTGGATGACACTTGATGTTAATTCAGTTTTTTCAAATATTAATTCATTAATTAAATTAAAAAATGAATAAATAGTAACAAACAAAACACCATTTATTAAAAGGAAAGTTGCTCGTTGTATCCCTGTAGCGCAATAGATAGCGCGTTGGTCTTCTAATCCGAAGGTTATGGGTTCGAATCCTACCTGGGATGGCTTAATTTCTTAAATTTGTTTTATGAATGAACACATAGTAACAAACAAAACATAGTACAAACATAGTTAGATGGTTTAAACATCCTAAACCATGTATAGGAAGGGAAATGGAAAACTGCAAGGAGAGAAAATCGCTTTTTATTTTGCCACTGAATAGTGGGATTCGGTGCTATGTATATACATATTTATATTAATTGTAATTATTTAATAAAAAGTAACTAAAGTAAAATTTTCTTTGTTGACCGAAGTAGAAATTGATTTAATTTTTTTTTATATTTCTTGTTGGTAATATTTGAATGAGTCATGATCTTCATGTACATCCTATTTAGCTGTAGCTTCTGATGGTAGTGTATTTATTTTTAGCCTTATGTATTCCTTGTAAGATATAAATCAATCAATAAAGTAATGATTTTTTTTAATGCCAGAGATGTGCTTGGATTTTTGGCTTATCGCTGTAAATATTTATTTTGCTTCTTCTGTTGTGGTTTTCTTTGAGAAATATCAATTTTGATTACTATATTAAATTTAAGCTCTGTTTATTTGATGATTTTTCTCCTGAAAAAGGTTAGATTAAAATAAAGTTAGAATTATTAATTGTTTTGGTTTTAACATCATTTCCCCCATCAATAACTGTTTAAGACTGTCTTCGGCAAATGTACGAAAGCCTGAACTAAACACGAAGAACATTTTCAGACAGAAAAATGCCTCAATTTTCGAACAATTTTTACAATATTATAATTCACACATCGGTTAATATAATATAGTGTTTTTAAAATTCCAAAATATTCCGTCCCTAGTTATTTTTTTGATTTAGCTCGTAAAGGAATAGCTCATTTTACATTACGATATAGGAGAAAAGCGAAACACATTTTATACCAGAAAAAAAGGGTTCAAATCAGTTAAAAATGAGAAGTATGATAAAAAAAAAAGGCTGCCCTCTATTTCATAGCGAAGCCAAGGTATGGCATTAAAGTTTCATTTATTTTATATTTGAAAAAATATTCCACAGGTTCTGGTCTTATTCTTTAACATTAACCGAAAACAGCTTAATGTGGAACCTTACTATTTTTCTTGAGTGGTAATTGCTTTTTTTCCGTTTTAAGTATTTCAGAAATTGTTTTTTTTTTTCAGTATTTGATAGTTCAGTAATTGTTTCTTTTTCGGTATTTGTAAAATACCATGCGATTCGTTTATTTACAAATGAACCAATGGTTCAACATTTGAGGCTGCAATAGTCTAGTGGTCTTTGTCACTGACTTAGACCTGTATGTCATGAGTTCGAGCCTTGTATCACTGAAGACCCGCCGCGTAGAGGGGCTGATATGAATGAAATATTTTGAGGTTCTAAGTCCTTCCATTGACGTTGTGCGGGAATTAGGAGAGCTAAGTATTAGCTCAGGTGTCGTCCGAGTCACTTGACCATAGTTCAAAATTACGTGGTTCATTGCCAATATCCCTAGAGTTTGTTTATAGTGCAACATCGATAAACATCCATTCACTTAGTTCAACATTTAATATGTGATTTTTATGGTAGTCTTGACCAGTGAAGTAATGATGAATACTAGGGCCCTCCTGCAAAATCAAGTTTTAGGCCCCAATCACAAATACGTAATTGGCGTCAGTCAGGCTTTGGAGGAACCCCTTAGAACACCTCCCCCCCCACCGCAATGCGGAGATGTTCGTTACGCCACTGGTTTTGACAAATAATTAGGAAATAGCTGTGAATTGAAGTTTTTTTTTAAATTTAATTCACTAATTATTTAGTCTTATAAGGAATAATTTTATGCTTTTTTAATTATTATTATTTTTTTTTTTTTGCTGTACGAAATGATGTTTAGTGTTGTCTGAAGTAAAATTCTGAATTTAAATATTAATTCATACTGATCTTTAAATTAACTAACTGAAGTTCTATTCTATTGTCAGAAAACATTTCACATTAGCCAAAAAGTTCTGACGAGTCTATCCGCGTTCTTTCAACTAATCCTCTTGGGAAATATTGGGTCTTTAAATTTATTCCATTATAAACCTTCCCTCGAAGAAGAAAATGTGAGTATGTAAATTAAAACTTGTATATATAGATTAAACTTTCAAGTTGGACGGAGAGAGTTAGACTGCTAATGGATAGCAGTGATTGATTAAACGTGAAGTGAGGTGTGAATTCTTCGTAGCTGATTAGCAGGGGCGTAGCTACCGCCTTATCAGCCGTATCAATGATACGGGGCCCCCAAGCTACAGGGGCCTCAACAAGTGTAATTACTGTCCCACTAACAGGACTCCCATTTTATAAAAAGGGTCCCGAAGGAATTTTGATACAGGGCCCCCTGAGAGCTAGCTACGCCAGTGCTGATTAATTAATATTAAAGATTAACGATTTGTCAACTAGTGATTAAATTAGATTAGGTCGCTTGGAATTAGAAGATATATTCCTTGGGCTTATCCTATGTATTAAGACTTCTCGTATCTCGTCTACCTCGCTATTGCTTTCCATATTTTGTATTTCGGTGCATCTCTTAACTTGTTTAATAGAATTTCTCTTGTTCATTACTGTGAATAAATAGAAGGTTTTTGAATATGGTTAATTTTCCTTCCGACTCTCCCACACTAATGGACGTCGCGTGGCGACGACCATTCAAAGTAAATTACAAAATAAATCGTCTGCTATAAAAGAATATTTGGCAAATAAGAATTACATTATCAAAGTATTAATATCTACACAAATTAACAATTAATTAATTGATTAATAATTAATAAACAAATAATAACGTTCATTTTAATTATACTTTCAAATATGCACAAAAAATGTTTTTTATTTTAATTTAAATCAGTTGCCAAGTAAAAAGGCAAGAGAATTAAATTTCCTCGACAAAAATAATAAAGTTAAAAACCGTTCATTCAGTGTGCCTATTCTAATCATATACGTACACAAGAGCAGATTTTTTATAAAGAAGTTTCATCGCGTATAATTGCAAATTTTTGGCTAATTTATTTGCGTTATTAATATTCTGTATTTTCTTGCAGTCGGTGGTCTCCAGAGGACTGGGACCCTAAAGGGCGGGACTATGAAGAAAGTCCCTCCTCCAGTCGTTCCAGAACTCTCGTACAGGAACTCCGGATCCAGTTTTTCCAGTGGTTATGGAAGCCAGGCAGCTGTCGACCGTAATTCCTGTGGCAGCTTGAGTGCAGACGAACCTGTATCACCGCCGCCCAATTCCCCTAATTCAGGTGATTTAAATGAAGCTCTCTTCAACTGTAATGCGCATCAAATTCCGTTTTTTCCGTAATCTATTTGATCATGAATTGAATTAATAAAAATGAATGAAATTGTTTAGTTAAGCTACCAACATGTGGGTTAGAATGTTTAAATGCTGTCTTCGGTAAAAGTAAGAGAGCTTGAACTAAACGCGAAGCACATTTTCAGACAGAAAAAATGCCTCAATTTCTTTGGAAATTTGCGATGTTATAACTCCTACCTTTGTTAACAATACAGTGCTTTTAAAGATGCCAAAATATTCCATGAATACTTTCATTTTTTGCTTTAATACGTGAAGGCATAGCCCATTTAACATTACGGTATAGGAGTAAAAACGCGAAACACATTTTATACCAGAAAAAATTAATAAACTCGGTTAAAAACGGGAAATATGATAAAAAAAAATTCTGCTCTCTAAAGGATAGTGAAGCCAGAATATCATATTAATTTTTCATTTATTTTATATCTGAAAAAATGTTCAAAATTCTGGTCCTGTTCTTTAACATTAACCAAGACAGCCTTAATGCCATGATGATAGTAATCATGCAAGCGTAATTGCACAAAAAAGTTAACGTGTAGAATAAAATTAATTCTTCGTGTGTATATAGTCACTCTGTTTAATTTTTAAGATTTGTACCCTTTCATCTCACAAGTCTCGTTTTGTTTAGTGGCCGCGATAGTTAAGTGGTTATGATCAAGAACTCGAGGCCGGAGAATCGCGGATTCGTGTCCTGTTGCCATTGAAGAATCGCCATGTAGAGGGGTCAAATGCACGTTGAATCTATCGAGGCTCAATGTTCTCCCGTTGGTGTGGTAGTTAGGACAAGGGATGTCTGCTCAGGTGTCATCTACGTCACTAGACTGAACCTCAGAATTACAAAGGTCCGTCGCCAAATAGTACTCGAGTTGTTTTATAGTGCGACGTTAGTGTAATTCTCACTCACTCATTTTGTTTACCAGAAAACTACATGCATTGTGTTTAAAAATTTGTAACAGAGAGTTATATTTATGAATATATATATATATATATATATATATATATATATATATATATATATATATATATATATATATATATATATATATATATATATATATATTCATAAATATAACTTTCTGTTACATATATATATATATATATATATATATATATATATATATATATGATAATGTTAAAAAACAGTAGAACGTCGTTTATCCGGAGCGTCAAATATCCGGTCCAGTGTTTTCGAACAGTGCAATGCTTAACAGTTGTTTCGCGCGAAGCCAAAAGTGGCGGGAAAACCGAAGGTCAGGGATATTTGGGTGAATTTCAGTTGTGTGATTTCAAATAAGTTGTGGCCAGACTTAGATGGCAGAAAAGACTTCAATGACGACCACAGGGAGGAGATTACCGACTTTGTTCAATAGATCACAGGATTTCAAGAATGCGATGAAGCAGATATAGAAACCTGGATGGCATGTGATGCAGAAGACTGTGGATTTCAAATGCTAAATGATGATGAGATTGTGACTTCCGTACAAGAAGAATCCGAGTCTGTCGACCATAAAACGGATGAAAACGAGGACAACAACAACGAAAGTAGTGAGGGTCCATCAAATGCTGACGCGTTTTCTGCGTTAGAGACAGCCATGGAGTGGTATAAAAAACAATCAGAGCGCTGTCCTACTCAACCACTGCGAATGATACAGCGAAAAACAAGTGATTATTTTCTACAATAAAGGCAATATTGCGACATTTTGCATCTA